ATTTAATTGTTATTCAAATGGAATCGATGGGGAAATGATAAATTGTTGATAGGCTGGGCGCCCGTATCCGAGTCGACGCTTCCGATTCGATGCTCGCGCCAACCGAGCGCTCTGATTGGTCGGGTTTTTTTTGTTAATAACTCCTCAACCACGCGTCGGATAATTTTTTCGCTAAGGAGAATGTTGTTTAAAATTACGTCAGGAACCTGCCATTTCAATATCTTAATGCTCCAAAAATGCTTCGTGCGCCTCGATCCGATTCATCGATTTGACACCATCTACCGCAATCTTACCCGAGCATTTTCGTGTTCTGTTTTAGAAGCAGAAATCCTCGGGGAAACCGATCTGTGAAGCTTTTACCGATCTACACTAACGGACGAAAGCTAGAAAGAAATAGTCGAATGTAAAGAAAGGACAGGCACACAAGTATTATATGTACACACATACACGTGAACCGAAAGATTCCTATTGCCCGAGAAAAGCGTATCCGACCCGACGGACCTAAGGAGGAACTCCACCAACCACTGAACGATCGAGCCACCCGCGTGAAAGAAACAAACACTGACAGACGCGAACACCGTAGCAAGTTTAACGAAACGTATAATCAAAACAAAAGAACAAAAAAAAAAAAAAGAAAGAAAAGAAAACGAGCTAAAGGAACAACGATCCCTCGACCTTTCCAGTTTTTCTCTGCTCCGTCCTCGGGCGTACAATAATCTCGATCGACAATCTAGCCGCAGCGTAGTGGCCGACGGAACACTAGCCAATCAATTACTATCGGGTAACTCGCGGTGTCGTTGGAATTTCATTAAAGCAGAGGAAAAGAGAGGAGGAAGGGCGGAAAGAAAGGAACGAGGATAGAACGAGAAACAACGGGGATGCGACCCGGAACGGACTGTTCGAATTAGGGAACGAGAGTCACGGCTCTACTTTTTTTTTAAGCCAATTTTACAGGCCTGCGGGACATTGAAATTGGAAAGGTCAACGAGTTTTGACATTTGCTCATATCAAACGTTTTTTAGATTAACCGTCGTCCGAATCGTAACCTCGCCAGTAGTCTACTCTCTCTCTCTCTCTCTTTTTGTTAATAACTCCTCAACCACGCGTCGGATAATTTTTTCGCTAAGGAGAATGTTGTTTAAAATTACGTCAGGAACCTGCCATTTCAATATCTTAATGCTCCAAAAATGCTTCGTGCGCCTCGATCCGATTCATCGATTTGACACCATCTACCGCAATCTTACCCGAGCATTTTCGTGTTCTGTTTTAGAAGCAGAAATCCTCGGGGAAACCGATCTGTGAAGCTTTTACCGATCTACACTAACGGACGAAAGCTAGAAAGAAATAGTCGAATGTAAAGAAAGGACAGGCACACAAGTATTATATGTACACACATACACGTGAACCGAAAGATTCCTATTGCCCGAGAAAAGCGTATCCGACCCGACGGACCTAAGGAGGAACTCCACCAACCACTGAACGATCGAGCCACCCGCGTGAAAGAAACAAACACTGACAGACGCGAACACCGTAGCAAGTTTAACGAAACGTATAATCAAAACAAAAGAACAAAAAAAAAAAA